ATTCGGATTTGTCAGATTTTTTATCTGGGCTGTATGGAGATATTAAGGACCCCGCGAACGTAGATGGAAATGGGTGATCAATTTGTACTAACATGGCAAAGCTATATTCGTCTGAAAATGTGCAACGCTCAGTCAGATTTGATGAGTGATACAAATTATGTAATGAAGTTTTGAGCATGAGCGCTGACAAATCTGAGCATCGAAAACCTCGATACCAGGCGTTACAGTCTCCATTGGCCGCGCATCGTCGGCCCTGCGGTTAACTTTGAGCCATGGTCAACGGGTGGACGAAAATGATAACGCATTTGAAAGAAGTATGTTTGAACGCTTTAGGACATCAAATCGTACAGAAATGCCGCGTATTTCAGCTGTGCAATCTTCAGACTGATGGACTCAACGGGTTGGAATTTACAGCACCGCGAAGTGGTGCTGGAATCTGGTGGTAGAACTAGGGGAGTAAAGGTATAATCTCTATTGCTCGTGTCGCTAAAGCTATTAACCTGTCCAGAAGCCATTCTCAAGGTTGTAAGAAAGATACGCCAAGCCTAATCCATGGGCGGCACAACTCATCTTTTAAAAGCATTTGGAAGCATTATTCCACGAAGGCCGCTTTCACGCCCACGGCATCCGCCGCCTGGTGCTGCTTGCAGTGGCCAACGCCGTCCGGTTTCACGTAAAACGCAACCGAGGCCAGCATAGTCCCTTGCTTCCGAGATTGCGGGTGCGCAGGCTAAAACCTTTTGGTGCATTTTGTTTAACTAGTCGATTCTTCAAAAGAATGAACGTTCTCACGCAAACATGGAAAGGCCTTGTTCTTTTTCTAACTCATTTATATCCACTCTATTCAACACAAATGACACTCCTTATTTCTTTCTGGGAAAGGAGCCCATTTGAGTAAGGCGCAAGGGGGCACTTCGTTGTTACTGGCCAAGGGCTGCAGGTCCATTCTGACCCACCGCGGGGTGTCTTCCGGCTGCCATTTTTGCGGCACAGCGCAGGATGCTCTGGCCGGTCCGGAGACCTTCAGACGGATACATCATATCACATTGGTCCCGTCCCTGAGGGCTTTTGACCCGCGCAGACCGCAGTTGACCTCGGATCGACGCAAGATCCCTCATTGACGCAACATCTCTGATCGCCGCAGGTGGCCCTACGGGCGGGGGTTCTTCATGTTACCTGCAGTCAGCCCTTCGGCTCCTTAGCCTTACAATCGGGCCCTTGATCTTTGGTCTCAAGAGACCATTCGGTCCCTCTTCGGGCCCCTCCTCGAGCCCGTTTGAACACCGCTTCTAGCCGACTATGGCCACTTACCACCATTTAACCGCTGTCAGGCAAAGTGGCCTCTGAGCGACACAGGAACCTTCATTGTGTCAGGGATCCGAATATTGCAAATCAAGGGCCTCGTTCCTGACATGGAGCGAACTGTTTGGCACCATGTCGAAGCCCTATAAAATAGGCGTAGAAAGCCCTAATAACAGGGCGCTGATAAAAGCTCTCCGACTGACATTTCAGGTCACGGCACTACGGTTGGGGGCCGAGCCCGAGTTCAATCGGGCCCTTGATCTTTGGTTACTAGGGGCCATCGAGCCCTTCTTCCTCAAAGGAATCCCGTAGCCGACTAGGGATACTAGCTGAGACATGACCCCCTGTTATGCACTGTGGGCCCCTGACAGATACAGGGGCTCCAACCACTGTTTCAGGGACCCGGACCAATGCAGATCGTGGCCCGTGGTCTTGCTCCTGTTTAAGAAATTGGCACACAATGTTCAGACTAACAGGGAGCCACCTGTTTGGCGTTCATGGTCTCTGGCCGACTTAGACACGCACATCTCATTCATATCTCATTATCTCAGGGGTCCTCAAACAGTGCAAGAGGACCTCTGACTGATATTTCAGGCTACGGCCTTGCACGCCGCGCTTCTTTGTGTGACCGACAGCCAGCCCTTCGTGCCCTTATGCCCTCCAGCCGGCCCTCTGATAGTCAGTTCAGTTAGGCCGCCTCAGTGCTCCGATATTCGGTCACTTGGGTGGCATGGATGTCGATATTTTTTCATGCTATTATTCCCCGGATTGTGGCTCACTGGCGATTGCCCCTCCCCTTTTTCAAAATCAGCCAATCAGTATCGAACGCCACAGCTGTTAAACCATTATTTACGCGCCTCATGCTCGACAATTGGACTGAGTAGGTCAGATGGCTGGGTCAGGGTCAAGGACAACGGATTAGCGCCAACGGATCGCGCGCGCAGCCGCCGCCGGAGAGCCAACATTCTGGTAGCATGAATCTATTCCTACATCCTGCACACACTGTTGGATGAGTTTTGGAACGCTGGGCCGCCTGGCCCCCTTCGGGTCTCATCAGAAACTGCCCTTGGTCGACGCGGTGCCCCTTGCGAGCAGAGGACCTTCTGTTAGGCGCTGTGGGCTCCTGACTGATACCAGGGTCCTGACCAGTGTAATTCACTGGCTCTGACTTTGTAGCTGGTTGGAAAGTGGGCTCTCAGACCCATACCGAGCTGACAACACGGTTCTGGTGGTGCCTGACCAACGTATAGATCCATATCGACTCAAGGTGTCCCTGATAGGCGCAAAGGGCAGTCCGACTGTTATTTGAGTATCCGTCCCTGCAGCTGGGGCTCCTGAATAAGGTTCCGACCAACCTTTCGTGCCCTTAGACCCTCATATCGACCCCTTGATCGTCGGATCCGGTGGGCCCTATAGGCTCTCCGGGCCTCCTCGAACGCTGCTTCTGGCCAACCCGGTGTCCTTTGCCTGCACAGGGCCCCCGATAGGCGTTGTGGGACCCGAACAATGCAAATCTGGTTTCGGCTTTGTCCTTGCTTGGCAAATGGGCCCTCAGGCCTGTGCCGCCACGGAGCCGACTGCGGGTTATTGGTGGTGTCTGCCGACATATTGGCCCTTATTTACTCTGGGGCCCCTAATCAGTGCGCGGGGCCTTCTGGCTGACATTGAAGTGCTCAGCCCTGCGGACCGGCCCCTGAGTGCATCTTCCGGCCGGTCTTCCGGCCCTTGCGGCTATTTCAGTTCAAAATCCCATACAAATATGGACCACTCCCTTTAACTGGGGGTGGGGTTGGGGGTAGGGCGGGGATAAATAATGACGAGAGTGAGGAATGAGGAGTATAAAGACCAGCTATGCGATCCTAACGTCAGCAAAGCAGAGTTTTAGGGGAGTGTTCCACATTTGCATGGGGTTTTGAACTGTATAGCCATCTTAAGGATCGGTGCAGGATCCGGTGCAGTTCACAGACCTGTTCTTCTTAAGACCTGAAATCCTCTAGTTTCTGAGTTACACGCCCGCGAAAATGTGTGGACCATTTCAAGGTTACCTATACATCCTCGACGCCATAATATGGTAATTTAGGTCCTATTATTCCACCGGCCATGCGGCGTACCAGCCCATTGATAATCAAACTGGAGTCCTCCATGTCTGGCGCTCGTAAGCACAATTTCTAGATCAAACGGCCATCGACTAAATCTTGGACAGGACCACATACGTCTGGGGGGTCAACCGCCGAGCCTTGGTCCGCGTAGCTGTCCCGCTACGGTGTGTGCTTTGGGCACCCGGTCGGGGTCACCTTCCAGAGGCCTCTCGGCCACCCGTGGCTGACGCATACAGCCTGCCCCGGACAAGCGCGGCGTCGCGAGGAAGCCGAACGAAGCTAGAGAGAGAGGATAAGAGGGCCGAAGCTGGAAAAAGCATATAATACTTGTGATCGAAGAACTTAAGAGCAACGTTATAACCGAGTTTGTGAATACAAGTAAACATATTAAACTCACGGATAAATATGCAAGAACACCCCGAGAAAAGACCAGCACACGAGCACATAATGGTATCTGGCTCCGCGAACACTTTTGGCTCGTGCTGCCACCTCTAGGGAGATTGAAGAACCACAAGTAAGTGTTGTGTGGCGCAAAATGCAGTATTGGACAACATTTATTTCATAGAGACATTTTGTTGTGTACAACAGTTTTTTCACTCACAAGTATGCCAATATCTATAACTGAGCTCTCGCCATCATATCTGGTGTTTGGTTTTATGCATTCGAATATGAGACATTCCTTTTAAGTTTGGCATTACAATAAGTTAGATGATGTAGTAAGCGACCAAATACAAAACGCCGTACCGCCTCAGCAAGGTGTGTCATTTGCGTTACCGAGCGCGTGACCTCGTAAACCGTCCTCCTATATATATATATATATATATATATATATATATATATATATATATATATATATATATGCCAGAGGAAAGCGACAAAACATCGTCGCTTGCCACCCAGAAATCGTTCCATGAACACACAAACTTCTGCTGCTGTTGCGGGGCGGCCAGACGCAGGTTTAAGCACGTGTGCATTAACCTCCCGAGCTCCTTTTCGTCGTGATGGTCTGGTTTGCTTCAGAGGGGAAGTCCCTGGCCTCGGCCAGCTTGCCCGCTGTCCCACGCAGCACCGGGAAGCTTCACGGATCCTGAACAGACGGTGCGGAAAATGCAACGTGTCGAAGTATATGCCTACACCAGGGGTCAGTCACCGTCTTCATTGACTTGTTTCCTCACCTGAACAGAAGTGTAGCATGAAGTAGCTGTTTAATGGAAGGGGGAAAAGTAGTCATTATCAGGTCCTCCAGACACCAAAATCCTACAGGATCAATTTGTGGCTCAAGCTTCGTCAAAGACAGAAGGAAGATTGGGCATTATCAGTCACTCCATACAGTCTACCGCGCAGGTAAAAACGTGAGGCCCAGCCGTGGAAAGCTGATGAGCCTGTTAGCGTGAATGTCTTCGAGTCATTAACGGGCACATGATTGCTGATGGATTCATGACTGCAGGCCAGGTTTTGAATATGCTCGATGACACACCTCGGAGGCCGCAGCTGACACGCACCAGAGCGGTGCTGTGTCGACAGTCAACTAAACAACGTTGAACCCCTTCCCTTTCGGCACCCTCGCTGCTGGTGCTGCTGGCTGCTGTCGCCGATGTCATGCGGCGCGGCTGCTCCGCCGATCTGACCTGGCCGCAGGCCCTCAGGCTGTATGCGCTCAAGGTCATCCGCTCACTGCAAATACACTGGGCGTACCGTCAGTTTCTGGCGGACACTCGGAACTTCCAAAAGGTGAGCCATGGCAGCATGCGCGATTGGACCATTTAGTAGGTAGTAAGCTTACTTGGGCGATAGAACTGCTGGAAAGCATATTAACTCAGGGGCACAGCACTGGATTTTTACCAGTGGGTGGGGGTAGAGGAGTGGGTGAGAACTCGTCATGCCGGTTTTCAACATGGATTTTCATTTATTTGAAACCATGTTCGGATGTTTCACAAGCTTCTTCTCACCTTGCGCTTGCACGTTTGTCCACGTACCCTTAATGGGAATATTTCACATTTGAAAATTCAAAAGCAAGCAAGCATCAAGGAAGCATCAGATATGACGCTTCCTTGAAACATTTCGATGAAACATCACATATAGTCATTGGTGTGCTTTTTAGCAGGCAAAGTCGTTATAGACAGCAAAACTCTCCGTTTAGTAAATATGCTAGTCAATGCACAATATTTGATGGCGTCATCGCACCTCGCACAACATTGAATGAGAGCTAATTGACGACCGTTATATCTGGACATTTCGCTCACGAATGTCAGATATGAACGTCTCGACAATTATATTACCTTGGCCTCGGCCCTCGCGCGACTTGTGGACTGGCGGATTTTCAATGATGTCATTACGACGTCGTGAATTGGAATATTTGAAATACTCTCCCCAATATACCTTTCAGCATCTTCGCAGGCATCTAGCTCAGAAACTAAAGGGCTTAGGTCTCAAGAAGGGCAGGATTGTGAACAACAAAGAAAGGTCTGCAAGAGGGCTATTTTATTTCAGAAACCCGTATGACTGTGGAATACTCCATTACCACTTTTAACGTTAACGTTCAGGTGATGTAAGAGGGAAAAAAATCATGCGCGTTTTTTAATTTATCACGTGACACTTGTCAAACTATAGGCAACTGATTAATTCTATCACGGCAGGAATCTCAGACAGACCTGAATAGTAAACATTAGTTTTAGTTAGAAGGGGTGACGTGCATTTTATGGGGTGTTGAACTGAAATAGCCATCTTGGAGATCATTCGGTGCAGTTCACAACCCTCACCTTCTTAGGATATAAATGTAGCTAGTTTCTGAGCTACACGCTACGAATATGCGCAGAATAATTAGGGGAGAATATTACAAGGTCACTCAGGGAGCCACTACGTCATCATGACGTCATCCAACTCTGCCATTCCATTGCCCATGCGGTCATCAAGGTCAAAAAGGATAATTGTCGAATCCTTCGTATCTGGCGTTCATGAGCACGGTTTCCAGACAAAACGGCCGTCAATCCGTGCCCAATCAATATTGTGCAGGGTACCTTGACGTGATCAAACAATGACGCATTGAGGAGCGTATCGAGTCCCTGGAATTATTCATGGAGAATTGTGTTGTCAAGGGCAGTCTTTTCCATTTAACAGTGCATGTGAAGTTGCGAGTGACCGTATTTCATCATATCTGATGTTTGCTTCAATAGCCTTCAAATGTTGAACGTTGTCTTTAATGTCATGTTGAGATTTTATCAAACAGATTTATATTTTCTTGTACTATAACGGACCAAAAACAAAACAAGTCAAACGGAAGCCTGACAGCATTTTCACGCTGAATACATCAGTCTATGTGCACTAATGGGAGCAACATCACTTAAACATAGCGTCATAATTCATTAGGAGTGTCATTTCACACACTTTGGTGGGTCTGCCCCTGTAATTTTGACTTCAACTTCTTTAATGCGCTTCTGGCTTCCGCCATGCATATGAGCAAAAAGAGAATGCTGGGATAGTAAAATGCAGCAAGCATCTGAAGTACTGGTCCAATTTGTACGTAACTACCATTACCACATATCATAACTGTCACAACTGCATCAGCTCTACATGCGATGTTATTTCTAAGTAACAAAACCATGTCCAAACCAGCCAACTTCTTCCATTTTAAGTTTAGCATCAGGAGCGCAAATGAAAGTGACCTAGACCTAAAAGCTTTTGACCAAAACCCAGTGATTCCAGGCAGGCAATGCCTGAAATGATTTTCTTGTGGTTTGGTACTCTTAGAAAAGTTCCAGTGTCATCTCAAATAAGTACACAGCTTGCTTGGAAGCAAAATATGGCAGACACGGCCAAGCCCCCACATCACTGCATTCTGCCTAGGCGACGCCGTGACGTCATCATGGGACAAAGACATATGGCACCAACGTTACCTCGGCGTGAAAACGCTGCTCTTTGCAGGCCGGCTTACATATGAACGTTTAGATAAATCGTTTTTTTCGGCCTAGCACATTCAATGAAGCATTTTCCGCTGGGAAATGGCGTTGGTTTGCACCACAGCTACAAAATTATTGCTGAAATCCGGTTCCGGACTGCACCCAACGGAGAGATGGGGTAGCCCGACGGTAGCGACGGTAGATGGGGTAGGATGGGGTATCAGTGATTTATCCCAAAGAACTGTAGCCGGAAGTGTTTAGACACAGTCTGCGTAAAATGGCACAACATACAGCAACAACATAGGGTGAAAAGGAGAAACGGCGGCCCAGACGGACTTGCAGCACACTGGGACGCACATTGAGAAATTGGAATACACATTCCGTGGCTTTAGGAGGGGCGTTGCCAGGGTGAATGTAGGGCCGGCCTGCCCTAATGGGGCAGTGAGGGATGAACCCCGGCAGACGGTAAATGCAGAGCGCGTCATTTCAGTTCAAGATAGCATAGTTTCCTGTAAAATGGGACGATTTCTGGCAACTTTTGCAATTTCTACCATTCGAAGAGTGGTGGCCCATATCTCAGCTAGGAAACAATCTTGAGGCAGTCATCTAAATCAATCAAAGGCAGTCGGGGTATTTTTCCCTGCGTACCTTTTTCACCTAACCCATCCGACTTTATGTATATGCAAGTTAACCATCGACTAGGGAGATCACAGTTAAGCAGGAACGAAATTTTTGGCACCTGACCTCACATTATCTCATTTTCACATTTCACTCCATATAGGTACTGCAGTACGACGATAAATGAACAATTTTTGCCCAGTTCTAAATTCATGTAAAGACAACGCATGATATCCATTCATTCACCAATAAATATCCATTTTACAAACAGGCGATACATATAAATGTTCAGTCACGTCAACTATGACGAATGTGGCACGGCTACTAGACCTAGAAAACGTTCTTTGGTAGGATCTATTTTTGGAAGTAGATCGTAGTATTGATTTGTCTTTGGACGGGTTTAAACGCAAAACGTCCAACGTCTATTCGCAGAATGATGAAATAAAGATGTAGAAAAGGATTGCTCCCCAGTTCATTGATGAAATCTCCGTTTGTAACCATGTTACTAGTATCTACCGACCTTTGCGTAATATTAACCAAAAACCATACTACGAACTACCGAATTTAAGCCCTATGGTGACGTCACATCTGCGAAGCCTTCTCTTGTAGCCTTGGGTACAGTCAGGAAGCGATCCCTTACACTAGAATCACGAAAAATGGAAACAGCTGATTCCGTTTACCCTGCCCACAGTCCTACATATCACTACTGCTCACAAAAACGGCATCGCGAATGAAGCTTACATTACAGCTTTAATAGCATAAAAAAGAAATAAACACACATGCCAATCACCGATCTCCAACAGCACATCAGTAAAGTAACCTGAACAAGAGCAAACGACGCGCGCCGACGCGAATCAAGATTGCGGAAATTATCTTGTCCCTTTCGTGCTACACGAAGGGCACTGAAGCCTCGGCACATCGATGATCAAAGACGGCGCCGCGTCGTGCAATCGCCTCCAGTCACGCAGTGCGCACACGTGCATCCCGACGCGCCCATGCGCTTGTTAGGGTAGTCCGGCACGACCATGGTGCTGTCGTAGGGGAGGTGGCTTGCGGTGAGGAGACCCGGCTTGGCTGGGAGCGGCGCAGGCGACGTGTTACGACCAGGCGCTTCCGCCTCGCCGGTGCGGAAACCGGCTCGTGCAGCATGCACCAGCTCAGCGCGGCTCGCGTCGGGGACATGTCGCAAACGTGGCTGCGATGATCGCGCGGGGGGAGGGGTGGCTTACCTGCGGTGCTGCCGCCGCCTGGACATTTCACTGTCGGGCCCACACGTTAATGAGGGCGGAGTTTCTAGGAAGGATGGGCCCCGAGCACTAGGTGATTAGGAGACGCCTATGACTTGGGGGGGCGGTGGAATAAACACATGTAAGAAACTGCCTCAAGCCGAGATGGGGAGGAAAAACACCAAGTGTACAGATAGGCTGGGAGCCCGGGGTTAAACTGTGCGTGCCCCGAACGTGCTCCCAAACGTACGGTCCGAACCCCGGCAGAGGTGCTGCCAATTCCAGGTGGGGAGGGTGGGTTGAGGTGGGGGTGGGGGAGGGGGGGGGGGGGTGATGATACACGTAGGTAGAGGAACACCCAGGTGTGTTCCTCAGTCTGAGTGGGCCAACAACCACCGTGAGGGAGGGTGCCCCGGGCGCCGGTAGAGGTACCCCAAAGCCCAGGCAGAGAGATACTCACGCCAGTAAGCGCGGTCACCGAGAGTCGCGCTCGGCCTGCTCTCTGAGTACTCTCTGTTAGTAACGCGCACCGATCAACGGGAACGCAGCCAGGGCATAGGAATATTCTTTGCTGCGTGGGCGTCACACACATCGCCGATTCTTTAAAAAGGGTTCGGAAAAATTCGGTCGGAAGAAATCTGACGTAACTATCGCACAAGAATGCGTTTGCTTGTAACCAACAAACCACCCTTTTGTCAGCACATAACGCCTTTATAGATACCCTACGAGGTATCTGCGAGGTATTTAGAATATAAAAAGCTCGTGAAGGTTGTTTCATTACGATACAAGGAACAAAACATATTCAGTTATCCGTCATGAAAACGATTTTATCTTTAAATCACATCAACCGGACATCATTTCCACCGATAGTGACATTAGCTAATGGTACACACGCCCACGCACATAAGCGTGAGAAAGCGACTTTCTTCATCCATAAGCTGCGGTAGATCTACACAAAGATTACTGTTTTCATTCTGTTCATGCTCCTTCCCATCATATTAGACCTATAACTACAACAGCAACAGCAGCCCGGTTTTGCGCCGACGTTTGTAATGGTGTCCTGTGTATGCGCTGCAGGTTCAGGCAGCACTGCTGATCAGCATCGTCCGCGGTCACCAGAACACCGCTTATGGCCGCGAGCACCAGCTCGCCTCCTCGCTCGACGTGGAGTCCTTCCGCCGCTCGCGGCCGGTCACCGAGTACGATGACGTGAAGGCCTACATCGACCGCGTGGCCGACGGCGAGACCTCGGCGCTGCTGGGCGACGGCGAGAGCATAGAGATGTTCACAACGACGTCCGGGAAAATGGGCGTCCACAAGCGGTTCCCTCTAACGGCGGCGGAGGCGGAGCGCGCTGTTCGCGGCTGGATGTTCAGCCCGACGCACCTGGCGCTCTGGCGCGACGTGGCACCGTGGAGCCTGCAGCGGGAGATGCTCGTGAAGGTGGCAGAGCCGCCGGCACAGGATCCCATCACGGCGTCCGGCCACAGACAGGCGGGCTTGAGCGCCCTCCTGGCCAAGGCGGTCGGTCCTATCGACCGCCTCAGCACCCCGGTGGTCGCTCTTGGTATCGAGGGCGAGTCCGAGTCGCTGTACGTGCACGCGCTGTTTGGACTGCGCGACCGAGACCTCAGATGTATCAACTCAATCTTCCTCTACAGCGTGGTGAGCCTGACCAAGCGGATGCATGAGCAGCAGGCGGACCTAGTGGCCGACATCCGCCGTGGTCGGCTGAAGGACGATCTCGCCATCCCTGCCGCCGTACGTGCGCAGCTCGAGACCCAGCTGAAGCCGCTGCCTGTGTGCGCCGACGAAGTACAGCGCGCGTTTGCAGGGGGACCGACCGGCCTTCTGCCGCGTCTCTCGCCGGAGCTGCAGTTCGTTATGGGCGCGTTCGCCGGGCTGACGAACGCAGCGTACCACCGTGAGATGGCGCTGTATGCTGGCAGCGTGCCGGTGATCGCGCAGGTGTACGGCTGCTCAGAGCTCGGCCTCGTGGCCGCCATCACAGACTTCCGGCGCCCCGAGCGACCCGTCTACACCCTTGTGCCTAAAGCGGCGTTCTTCGAGTTCCTGCCGGTGGTGGGCGACCGGATCCAGGAACTGGCGGAGATCGGTCGGCAGGAGCCGCTGCTGGCCGACCAGCTGCAGGAAGGCGGCGAGTACGAGCTGCTTGTCACTACCAGGGGTGGTCTGTGTCGGTACAGACTCGGAGACGTTGTCCGCTTTGTCGGGTACTTCAACCGGACACCACAGGTGGAAATATTATATCGGTAAGTGGTGTGCGTGCGTGCGTTTTTGCGAGAGGCTCGTGGGTTCCGTCTTCAAGCGCATGTTTAAAGCATCAGCTGGCAGGTTTCAATCAAACATATTATTCCAAGGTACAGCTCTTGTATGAAGTACAAATTGTTTCCCTTAACCCGCTTTTTACGTTATAATTAAGGTAGCAAAATGGCTTGGTTTTTCCTTTATTGTTGGGTTCCTAATTGTAGAAAACAATATGGTCAGCTGCCAACTTTTCAAGGTCACACGCTGCCACCCTTATTTCATCTGCAGCGCTGGGTACATACTGAACGCGGGCGACGAGATGGTATCGGAGAAGGTATTCTTCGAGGCGCTGGAGGATGCGCTTGCCCTCTGGCCAGCGGACGTGCAACTCGTGGACTATACGGTCGCTCCCAGTCAGCTGCTGCCGCTCTCCAAGCATCAGCTGGCTCCCCACTTCCATCTGTTTTTGGAGCTGGACGGACCGCTGCTGTCTGACGAACAGACCAAACTAGTGAGACCACGCAGCCAGCGGAGCTGAGCAGGCCGTTGAAGGACGTTTTAGCCATGCCACCGAATGCTCACCGATTGTTTGATCATAACTGGATCCCTGAAATGCATGATTGAGGATTGGTACTGCCTTCAGTTTTGTCCGTCCGCTAGAATAAAAAACATCACACCTTTCCCCAGGTGGACGCGACGCTGCGACGGCGGCACGTGATCTACGACGACAGTCGGTGGAGGGAGCGCGTATGTCCGGTTGTCGTCCGTCAGCTGCCGGCGGGCGCGTTCCGCCGCTTCCGGGACCACTTGCTGGCAACCACGACCGCCAGTCCCACCCAGTTCAAGATGCCCCGCGTGGTGAGAACCGCGCAGGCGGCCGAGTGGCTCCTCAAGTGTCACCTCTGAGTGAAGCTCGCGAGTGATGTCATGTGCGCATGGAGGATGACGCACCAGGACGAGAACAACAACGGATCGCAAGTCTAGGTGTTTTTTTTTAATCCTCAGCAGCACCTCGACTGCCTTCGTTGACGGCGTTGTCGCGGCTACCGTCGTCATGGCGACGTGGAGAACCTGTTGGGGACTGTGTTAAGCGGTTACCGACTGTAGATACGGCATCTACTATCCTGCACAGGTACCACTTTTGGGTCGTTTTAAACCCACATATTGCGGGCCTGCGGGTTCCAAAAATAGCACCATTACTGCTATGAATGACGTCAGAACAAATGAATATTTGCCACTGGCTCAGTGGGCGAGAAAGGCCTTGTGCAAAAAAGTGCATTGGTGGAAGCTTGGACCAGTGCGTTACTATAAGCTATGTAACACGTTTACACCCCAAAGCAAAGGTGCGCATTAAAAAGCTCTACCATTGCAAACGCCAGAGGGGAGAAGTCAAAGCCATAGTGTACGTGCTGTCGAATTCGTGGAACGTAGCCCCATGCTTGCATGTATCTTTCCGTACAGCGAGTGCTTCAAGCGTTCTTAGCAATAGTTACTCAAACATTTTGACCATTAGATAAATCTCAAACGCTACAAAACACACACACACATTAAAAAAGCGAGGAAAATTACAAGGATTACACATGCCGTTATGTTAAGTTATTTTGGTATGCATAGATTTGCATATATATATATATAGATAGATATATATATATATATATATATATATATATACATATATATTTATGTATATATATATATACATATATATTTATGTATATATATATATATATATATATATATATATATATATATATATATATATATATATATATAGATGTTAGTATTATAAGCATTAAGCAGTTGTTACTATAAAACACACTTGCAAACACACACGCGTACACACACACACACACACACACACACACACACACACACACACACACACACACACACACACACACACACACACACACACACACACACACACACACACACACACACACACACACACACACACGCCTTGGAAAAAGGAGAGCACATTATAAGTATCGCTTTATGGTGGTGAGCATGGAAACCAAGGATTTTTCTGTTCAAACGGCTGATCCGGAGCTATTTAGAATGATTTCGAAAAAAATTGGTGTCACCGATCAAATCGGGTCGTACCTTATGGTAGTGATAATTATAAAAAAAGCCTGGGATAATCCCTTTAATAGATTGGGCGTGACTGACTGGAGCTTAGGTCAATGCCTACTAGTGACATAAATATGGTTTTGAATAAAAGGCAAGACTTTTAAAATTTACAGTCAATTAGTTTTGTATTTTCCACAAGTCCAGTGCCTCGCTAGTTAGCATTGCTGGTATTTACCATCATGGCTCTCAACCCGTTCCGGGTTTCCATTCCCAGAAAATCTGGATACTCTTCTGCCCCTAGCCCTCTATTCAAAACCGCCTTTTTGGTCAACCAAACATCGCACACCTCCACGCAATCCCCCCGGACGCTCACACCACCGCGGACAGCTCTCCAATCATCCGTGCGAAATGTCACGCGCTCGCCTATTGGGAAACACTTTCCCGTTTCGTCTGCCGACCCGTGAAAACAGCTGTTCACAAAAACCAAGGCATAAGTGGCGAACAACAAACTGCATCGCCTACCGCACGTCGCAAACAGCTGACTTCGTTCTTCGTCGGGGAGGCGCCTGACCTGGCAGCTAAGCTTGGTCCTAGCACAAGCATGGTCAACAGAGTACCACTATCGAATTCTAACAAATTGTGGCGGGTACGTTACCTCAAGTATCGCAGTTCCGAGGAGCGGTCGCGACTCCCGATTCTTAAGCTTCGCTCCCCTCCTCCCCAGTCTTGTAAGAGTATATTGCAGGCAGTTTATCATCATAAAAAATGTATAGTTCATCAAAGCTTCCTTTCCAAAACGCTGCTCGAACCTGTATGTCCATGTCTGCTTCCACTCCAGTCGAAACTTAGATATGCTTAGAGGCAAACGGATCGTAAAAAAATACATTATGTTTGTGGATAGGTAAAAAAAAGAAAGAAAGAAGCCAGCAACTCAGCCCCCAATTAAGGCGGCTGCTTGACTTCTTGTCTCCTTGCCATGGATATCCTACATTTCTCATGCTTTCGCATTGCAGGTCGATTGGGCACCAAAATGTGTTCATCTGCACTTGCAAGCAAAGTAACAAATAATTATGGGCCATGTCACCCATGGCCACCGGAGCGAGCTGCTGGATTTCGATAGTTTTTATGAGCTAACATCAAATCCCTATCTTCTATGAAAACGTCGCTCAGAATAGCAGAATCCAACAATCGCTGCAGGAAAACTGAAAGCAAACGATCTGCATATCTACATAGCTTGCCTATAGACATACACATTTCCGTCGTGGAGGGGATACCAGTGGTGTAAAGGTTAAGTTGCGCGTCTTGGAAACCGGAGACAGGCAACGCCATACAGTTCTTAGCAGCGAAGTGTGCTGTACAGGCCCAGTGACGACGACGACAGCGTGCAGGGCAACATCCGCGGAGGAAGATAGCTTCCCGATCACAAAATGAAGTGGCGGAAAAGTGGAAAGCATCTAAATGAAGCGGCCCAAAATGGGTCACTTTTCGTAAGGGAGTGGGGCCCCTCAGTAAAGTGTGGTCCCTCCCGTCACGAAATCCGGGATCGACCCCTGATTGCACGACCTTGTTAGCGGAGTTCAGCTCTCGCAAAGGCTTCATGCGCATGCACGGCAGAGTCGCCACAGCGAACGCCAGCAGATTTCAGTGGGGCCTGCGCTTGCTGCAGTCACTGCGGTCACGCCAGTCAGTATCGAGCATTTTATCTGGCATCACGCAATGGTACGATGCCCCAGATATGCTATGACGTCACGAAATGCGCCACTGCTCTGTGGTCGCTGCAGCCGCTTGAAAGTCACCGCAGCCATTGAAGGACAACTTTACTTAGCCGCTGTTCATGCAACAGCCTCTAACCTTTACAATCGTTCATCCGATTTTCTCCAAACCAACAGCAGTCAAAAGGGACAATGTGGTTCCATAAGCCGTTGTGGAACGGCTCACCGCAATTGCGACCGCGGGCGATGTAAATAAAGTGATTAACCGGTTCTCTGCACCAGCTTTACACTCGTCTCTGGCGCAGAAGGCGTTCACACCATATGGCTGCGAGATTTGGGACGTCTGGTCCGTCCCAGCAGCGCTCGTCGCCGGTGAGTTTTTGTGAGATGGTGCTGTCGAGATGGATTTTAATTGACTGATTTGATTTTGATTTTGTTGAGATGGTAGGGTCACGTTGACCGGCATTCGAACTGAAACTATGGTACGTGCATTGGGACAAAATAAGGGTTAATTCCAGATCAACAGGTGTGCGCAATGCGGCTGGACTGTAAAGGCAGAATGTGTACTACTTCTACGACAATTTGAGAGCCATAAGGGTTGCGAAAAATGATTCAAATGCGAAGAAAGCTGCGCAAATGGTCATCCCTACGGAACTAAATAAAGAAAAGTACATAATGATAGAAGCAAGCGCAACGTTGAGTGAGCTCGATCGCCAGCGCCAGCCCCAGCTTTTTGAAGGTGTATTGCGGTTTGAAAGCATTTGAAAGATGGGTGTTGAAAAATTTCACGTAGAAAGAAGGGTAGTAGTGTGCTTATTTCACTGCAACCTCTACAGACTACGTTCGGTCTACCGACAGCACGTTTGTCAGCACCAGTATGACCATGTGTTCTGCCTACGTCAGCCACGTGACGAAAAATGCACGTTAGTTGTGACGTCAGGCACCGGCTGATGCTCCGGTCAATATCTTTTAGCGAGCCCATCAGCTGTGAGAAAAAGCGCTGGTGGATTGAATACATCGCGCTGGAAAAGAACCGCGAATTTCACGTAGTAGCTCTTCAGTGTGCGAGTACGTTCGGAGGGGTTGGGGGGGGGGGGGAGAGGGGGAGGACTTGTCCTAAATTTTGGGAGGATATGACGCAAGGGATTTGAACTGCCTGATACAAGTGTAGTCATGGAAAGGATAGTAACCGTGAGTGATGCGGTAAGTAGTTGTGTTTCCAGAAAATCAGTTCCATCATTTCCGCCCGAAATTTTGTCCAGATGTTTTCCTCGCTAAATTAGTCACGACTTTATGCTCTGTTTTGTGACAGTGGCTACCTTTCAGGGTTAGAATTTACACAAAAGGACCCAAAATCCTAAATCACCCACAAGTTCCCAAACCATTGCGCATAAGCGATCCAAAAATACATGAAGTCAAAATCTAGCGTGCGAGAGGTCTCCATCCCGACAAGCATTGACCTGGATGGTCATACTGCAGAAAAACGAGAGAGAATGTCAAACGTCCAAAATTACCGTACAAATACACGAAGCCAACATCCAAGGGTTTTATACAAAAGTTCAAGTGAAAGAAAACCAAATGGAAAAAGTCAAACGAAAAAGGGTCAAACAAGGTTAGTCAAAATCAACAAAAAATGACAGCGTTGGGTGTCAAATTGGAAAGCAGTCAAGAGACAAAAGTTAAAAGGGGGAGCAGTTGACTGGAATAAAAATATAATCGGGTCATTCAAAGGACAAAAAGTGGAACGGGATAAGAGCCAAGAGGGAATAAAGTCGGGCGGGAGAAACGTCAAACTAACTCAGTTCATACATGAAAAAGTCGAGAGGTGTTCAAGTCAAATCGGGGCGACACCGAAAGGGAGATGTTGTCACTGGTAAAATATTGGGAAACATTTAAAAGTACAAATAGGGAATTTGTTAAGTCCCATGATGGAAATGTCAGAACCAAAAAAGATCAATATACAGTATTTCGGCACGAACAAACATTGAGTAGATAAAACTAAACAAGCTGGTAGTCTAGCCTATTCGCGGGGAGGCCGTGCCGCAGTATTGTGCGACAATGAAAATGCCCTGCAGTTTTGCCTTGGGAAAGAGCGGTGGAAAAATTATCCGATGAACCCTGGGA